GAAACCCAGACAAGCAGTGGTGTACACACAACCCAAGGGGCCCCGGTGCGAAAACTGATCCGTGGGAACTCTGCGCGGGACGGGGCCACAACACAGGGCGGCGGGCACCTGGTCACAGGGGTCGCAGGGCTGCGACCCCTGCGACCGCGGTATGTATGCCAGTGCATGCAGATACACATACACTTAAAGGACCACTACAGACACCCAGATCACATCAGCTCAATGAAGTGGTCTGGGTGCCAGGTCCCTCTAGTTTTAACCCTGCAGCTGAAAACATAGCAGTTTCAGAGAAACTGCTATGTTTCACTGAGGGTTAATCCAGCCTCTAGTGGCTGTCTCATTGACAGCCGCTAGAGGAGCTTCCGTGATTCTCACTGTGAAAATCACAGTGAGAAGAGGTTGAACGTCCATAGGAAAGCATTGAGTAATGCTTTCCTATGGGCGGTTTGAATGCGCGCTCGGCTCTTGCCATGAATGCACATTCAGAGCTGAGAGGCGGATCGGGGCGGACAGATCCCCAGCGCCAAGGGAGTCCAGTGCTGGAGAAAGGTAAGTGCTGAAGACACACACTCTCACAAACAGACGCATACACACTAGCTAACAGACACACACATTTACTGACAGACACACAGTGACAGACATACATACACACTCACTGACAGACAGACACATACACACTCACTTACAAAACACACACTCACTAACAGACACACACAGTAACACACTTACACACACACTCTAACACACACACTTTAACACTAACACACACTCTAACACTCTAATACTAACACACACACACACTCTAAGCAGCCACCCAGGGGAGCACTCATTAATTACTTCCTGTGACAAACTCCACTTCCCACATGAGTTTGCCACAAGTTCCTGGAGAAGCTTGCTTGCCAGCCTCCTGCCCACAGACTATGGGCCCTGCAGGGAAACCTGTAAAAGACAATCGAACTTGACCAAAATTATGATGTCCAGGAAATTCTCGAACCCTGAACCGATCTGGGTGATTTTTGGATATGTTGGTCACTCAGATCGGGGCTATCAGGGGATGTAACTTTTGTGGGGGTTTTGTGTGTTTAAAAATGTTTTCTGCGCCTGGAGATAATTGAGTTTAATACAGTTACTGACTCCAAGGAACTATCTCCCAGGCACAGAGGAGGGATTATCTTGTTTTATGTGGGAGTGTCCTGGACCTAAGAGCCAATCTAATCATGTGTATGTTTTGTGTATGTCTACTCTCAGATGAGTTCTTGTAAGAGCTACAATGCTATACCGCCATACTCTCTTGGAGGAGAGGTCTTCTCACTGGGAGCTGGATCCAGGAGTTTGGTCCAGGGTGAGAAGGGACAGTGAGTCCCCAGCCAAGCTGCAGCGGCTAAGGGGCTACGGTGTCCGATGTGGTGCTTATGGTACTCGGCGATAGCTAGGAAGCAGCGATTAGTTGAGGAACCCAGTCGATGTGCCAGGCGGTCCGTCACACTTCCCTTGCGGTTTCAATCTTATGTTGCGGGTGCAAGCGTTCAGAATAATCGGTGTGAACGTTCTAATCAGGCTCCGGGAAGGCCCTCGTTCGGGAAACGAACAAGTCTGGAAACAATCCATGAATGCTCCCCCTGTACGAATGGTGGCCACCCAGGGAAGCACTCATTAATTTTTTCCCTTGTGGTTTGCGGTTTTGACACTTATGTTGCAAGGTGATTGGGAGATGTGAACATTCTATACTAACATTCTAAATGAGGTATTGTGGTGGTCCCCGTTCGGGAGGTAAATGATTTTAAACAAGCTAATTAATGCATGCTCCTTTCCAGGCATCAGTTAGTCCAGAATATCCATGCGTTCTGATAAGATCTTTGTGTTTATTGGACATACCAAGGGATAGGGGCTGTGATATGTGGGAAGGTAAGGATGGAGCATTATTTAGGTTTTGTCCTCCCTGCCTCTTACCCCTGGCCAGGGAGGGGGACACACGACATTCCCTGGTGGTCCATGCTTCCGGCTTGCTCCTTGAGTGCAACATTAAAGCATTGCCATTGCAACCTGTGGCAATGCTCTCACAGCTGGAGCTTGCAAGAGAGAGGACCTGGCTGAGGAGCATGCAGAGAAACTACAAGGCTCCCTCACTATACAAGTATGTGTATGTAAATATATATATATATATATATATATATATATATTTACATATGTAAAAAACAGATAAAATTTGTATTTTTTTTAATGTGTCATCTTGCTCAGAAATGTTTTAGACTTTCAAAACGAAACAAATTGCACATGTACTACTGTAAATACCCATGCACCTGCGTCCACAGGGCTCCACTTTATCTAGGTGCAACTTCCATTGCTCCCGAGTCCACACTGGCTGCCCAACTTGCTGTGCAAACACTCACGTTCCAGAATCAGAGTCTTCTCAATGAGAAGGCTCAAACTGGTCATTTCCCTGGCATAGAATGAAATGAATACATTTATATTACAATATCTGAGCTGTATTTGACACATTATCCTTTTCCTTCTACTCTGGCTAGCCAATATATTTGGATATGGTCCATCATAATCATCTAGTCCATTGAGCGGGCTCCAGATATTTCTCTATCTAATGGCGGGACTTCAACCAATTGGAATACACACTTTGAGGACTTTGAGGATGTTACAGTTACACACTATGTTGTGCTGAGCATGAGTAACCATTATGACACTTTTTGCCCCAGAACCAGTACTATAAAGGAACACTATAGGGTCAGAAACACAAACAAGTATTCCTGATACTATAGTGTTAAAAACACTATTTAATTGTGCAGCACTGACTCAGGAAGCACCTTTAGTGACCATTTTAGTGACTGCCACTGGAGGTGTCACTAGGCCTCAATGTAAACAGGCACAGGCAAAAGAAATCCTGCAGGGGCTGACTACACTCATCAGAACTACTACATTAAGCTGTAGCTGTTCAGGTGACTACAGGTTCCCTTTAAGTTTAAGTGGTTCTTGTGCCTATAGTGTCTTTTTTTTTGAAGACCCTAAGTACTGTATTTTCCGGCGTATAAGACGACCCCCAACTTTTCCAGTTAAAATATAGAGTTTGGGATATAATCGCCGTATAAGACTACCCCTCTTCCAATGCACACCAAATAAAAATTAGCCATGATGTACAGTGAGCAGACAGAGCTACACAGCAAGACATTAAATAATGATAATCTGAAATAGCATTTAAAGCCCAGGTATGTGCCAGGCTGTTTGGGCATATAATCCATGCCTGCTGGTCTAGCACACAGGAGGCTAATTGCGATATATTCTTTTTACTCCCCCCCTCCATTCTTTTTACCCCCCCTCCATTCTTTTTTACTCCCCCTCCATTCTTTTTATTCCCTCCCCCTGCTCCCCCCCCAATCCTCCCTACATTCTTCTCACCTCCCCTTCCCTGTGCAGAGTGGGTGGCCGAGCTCCTCTTCGTCCTGTCAGTCCGGCCGGGTACCGCGCGGTACAGGAGATTCAGTTACCTGTTCCCGGCCGGACTGAAAGGAAGTGAGCACTCAGTGTGCACTTTTCCCCCTTGCATTCGTATACTTAAGCCCTGACATGCATTTGCATGAATTATAATTAGTTACATTTCTTGTTCGGCTATTTGTATTTCGTTATTTCTCCTTGGCATTCGAGTTTTTGAGCTCTGTTCAAGGGGAACTTTAGACTGTCCATGTGTAGTATTTGCCATTAGGTACTTTACTTATGTTAAGTTCCTCCTGAATATTCGAGCATTGTTCAGTTTGGGAGCAACTTCCAGTTATTTAGGTAATTGTGGAGTATGTTCATTGGGCACTTTTGTGCTATATATACTGAATCAGTACTTTACTGTTGAATAAATTCATGTTTAATGTTATTCTGGTATTCATTTCGCATAGTTCACAATTCTGGTTCCCATTCTCTGATTGTTCAATTCACTCTATTTGAGGGGTTTATCTACTAAAATGGGTTTCCTGGCTGGTGTAAAATTGTACTTTAATCACTTTGCCTACATAACAGTTTGTTACGTTCATTATTATTAAACACTGTATGCTATTCGCTTGTGGGTACACTGTAGCTTGTCACTTTTATATGTCTCCAGCACTACTACTTTTTTTTTTTACAAACTGTTCACTGTTTTATATTATTGTCCATGTGTTAGGTATGTTGAGCATATGTTTTATTCTTATTAAATCCACTTAGCCATGAATGTCTGGCCTGGTAGCTATGGAATTGTAACTTATATGTACAGTTGTATTTATCTGCAATACTTTCTCGTAGGCATCATAGGCCAGGCCCTTTGTGGTCTTCACAGCATTTTTCGCAAGCTATTCACCATTTCCATACTGTTTATGTTAAGGTATTGATTGTTACCTTTATTTCAATGTAAACCTTTTTACATACTCAAGGTATCACTCAGTCTTATTTCTCATGTTCAAATTTATCCTAGCATTCCACAACTTATACGCTTATTATTCCTTGGGGGTTGGCATGGGACTTGTCTCTTTTTAGCCTGACCCTCATATGGTTCACTGTAAGGTTAAAATGTCTATTTCCTTATCCATTGCTCCTGTTTAGAATCGATTCTATACTTTCCAGCTATTAGAGTACACAAGTGAATTTCATCCATTCCTCAGGTATATTCAGTTCCCTCAGTGGTGCTTTAATATTACTCCCCTTGTTAATGTTATAGTTATAGGTATACGTATTACTTTTATTCAGAGGTCTCTAGAAGCAATTTCCGATTTCTTAGGAGAAGCATTCTTCTGATCACCTTTTTGGTATGTGGATTCTCTTTGTTTTTCACTTTCTATTCCACTACTTACTCCCCTCAATAATTTCTGTATTTACCTCTAAAGATATATACTTTTCCTGTATTTATGCTTTCCTGTCATAAACTAAGCTTTTTACTTATCAAGGTACGTGACTTCCCCATTCACATTAGTAATTGCAAGACTACAAGGCCACATCCAGAGATAGAGAACTGGCTTATAGGTTCAAGTGCTGGCCTTCGTTGCAGTATATGTTAACACACAAGCCAGTGAGGCCAAACTCCCAGCTTTGCAACAGAGGTTTTGCCCACACTGCCCTACATCATAGTTGTTGCCTTGCATACCCTTTTTTAGGGTCCTAGTCAGGGTACATCTCTCACGGCCACTACGTTCGGTGGCTACTTTCCCTTGAGTCAAGTCATAGGTAGAGCTTCTCTCTGCCGTTTGGTAACTAGCAGGGCCTCACCTATCACGGGGCAGATTAATTTTTTCGCCTACTGGCACTAAGTAGCCAGCCAGTTCTACATAGTTGGTATTCGATTTGTATGGGTAATCGATTATTTGTTTTGTCACTTTTTAACATTCCGGACACGAAGACGGCCTGTCTCTTCCAGACAACCCAGGTATGCTCTGCACTTCTACCCATCCCAGTACCCCTGCAGAGTCCCTCATCCCTGCCACTCTTGGGTCCCTGAGTTCAAGGACTATTCCCAAATTAGCTGCTGCGTTGCTCTGTAGATGCATCCCCTTCCCAGCCACTGCAAGGAAGGCGAAACTCTAAGTTCTTATACACCCAGTTCAATGATCCCAGACCCGGCATGAGTGCACATGGCGGAAGTTTTGACTGCATGGGAGTAGTGCAAGGCAGGATGTCCTTATTAATAGCTTCCCATCAAGCTATTAATGTCCACTTGACAGTACTGGAAACGGCTCACTATAATCCCCATGTCTCTGCGCATAGTCCAGTTGAGAATACATATATCTATATAAAATAAAAAGGGGTTGTGAAATCTAGATTGTGTTGGCTTTAAAAACTGGGGCAATACTCATTGAAAAAGTCAGAATTCCTTATCAAGTAGCTATTGATGTCAGACTGCAATTTAGACCCTTCTTTGGTAATCTGTTCAACATCTGTGAGGTAATAAACATTTGCTCTCACAGCTTTATTTCTTGCTACTATCTATCAGCTAAAACAAAAGTAAAAGATTTATGATTATATACTACATGATCTACATTTAAATCATAAAGAAGCTAGTGGACAAATGCATGAACTGATTTATTTATTTTAAATGTCTCTCCCCATGTATATGTATGAGGAAATTAGAGGAATGTACTTATGATTGCACTCCTCCCAATCTGTATGCCTGTCTGGTACACATGCAGGCTTTAAAGTGCTCACTGCTGGCGAGAAATGGTAGTTAAAGGGACACTATAGTCACCAAAAGCAACTTTAGCTTAAAAGGGACACTCCACTGTCCAAACACAAAATAAATTTAAAAAACAAAAACACCACTGTGTAATAGATATACCCCCAATGAAAACATACATGCATCTTTAATTAGGAGTTTTAACTAAACAGCTTGTAAAACCTGCATCTCTCATGTCTGCTTCCTTTGCAAATCCACCTTTTCTAACCCGGCCCAGATTTTGTGGCTGTCCAATCCCAGACTTCCCGAAGCAGCTCAATGAAAAGTCTTTGCAATGCAGGTGCTGCCTCTAAAGTTTGGCTCCAGTGAGCTAACCAAACCAGGCAGTGATATTACCTGCTGTCGGATTGAAAGCCAAGGGGGTGTTACCATTTTAATTTATAAAAGTGCCAGTTACTGTTGAAATGTGCACTTTTTGCAAGGAGGATGCACTCTTCACACATAAAACAAAGCGTTTTGTGAAGCTAAAGTGCTTTAGGGGTCTGGATTGATCCTTTAATGAAGTAGGTTTGGTGTATAGATCATGCCACTGCAAGCGCAATGCTCAATATAATTTCCATTTAGTAATTAAATCACTTTATTTATACAGCCCTAAATCACATCGCCCTGCATGCGATTTACACAGCCTTCCAAAACACTTCCTGTAAAGTGAAATCTAATGTTTACATTTCTTTTATTGCAAATTCTGTTCAATTAAGAATTTCTTGTCTCCTGCTCTGTTAAAGGACCACTATAGGCACCCAGACCACTTCAGCTCAATTAAGTGGTCTGGGTGCCAGTTCCCTCTAGTTTTAACCCTGCAGCTGAAAACATAGCAGTTTCAGAGAAACTGCTATGTTTACACTGAGGGTTAATCCAGCCTCTAGTGGCTGGATCACTAGAATCACAGTGAGAAGATGCTGGACGCACGCGCATTCTGTGCTGACGTCGGCAGGAGGAGAGGATACCAGCGCCGGAGAAAGGTAAGTGGCTGAAAGGTTTTAACCTCTTCAGCCCAGCGGGAGGAAGGCCAAAAGCTGGGGTGGACTTAATAACCCTAAACAAGTTTGTTTTCCTGGCACTATAGTGATCCTTTAATAGCTAGCTAGTCCTTGTAGAAGCCTCCTGTATGTATTTAAAATTCAATTTACAGAGCAGGAGATAAAAACCTTCTAAAATAAGTTAAAGTCTGATTTAAAATAAAACTATTTTTTGCAGGCTGCATTAGTCACAGCCCGGGGATGTGTGACTAGGGCAGCATAAACATAAAAGTGATTTAACTCCTAAATGGCTGAGAATTGAGCAGTGAGACTGCAAGGGCCTGATATACACCTAAACTGCTTCATAAGGTAGATTTATTTTGGTGACTATATAGTGTCTCTTTAACCAGCAGATTTCTACACCTCGTTGCAGTGTTTTAACTGGTTGGTTAAAGAATAATTGGTGGTGGGGGAAAAAAAAAAATGACTCAAATCTTGTTCAACCTTCAGATGCATTCAACCTCGTGTGCTGGAGACACAAATAAACCTGTGTACTCCTAGGTGTAGAAAAGGGATTTCTTATCCAATATTGTCACACTGATTGTCTGGTGGTTATCAAAATGAGAAACAATTGGGTAAAGCTTAATAGCCAGAAGCTGCATATCTACTCTAAAAAGCATCTAATCTCCTAGTTTACCCCAGTTGTGGTGGCTACAATACCAATACCTGTGCTCTCTGCTACCAAACGCTGCTGTGTTTAAATTGTACTGGGGGAGAAGGGACTCCATAGCACAATCCTTGGGAATAAATTTCACCTTGCTACCCATATGAACCATGACATTGCCCAGCAATGGAACCTGTCAAGCAAAAATCCAAATAATGATTCACCTACACCATATGGATGTGCGACATAAAAAAGTGTTGAAGGTGGTATGCTTTCTAGGGCAGATTTAGTTTAGCTAATCACTAGCAAAGTACCTGTCCATTTCTTGTCAGTCAAAGAACTGACAGACTACAGGACTCTGGAGATCAGTGACCACTGGAAAACATATAACTGTCAGATAAAGTAGAACCAAGGTATTATATTCTCCCTCAAGCGGTGAACCATCGTAGATGGGGATTTAGTTTTTTTTATAATAATACAAATTAAAAAGAAAAAGAGGTTTTTAAAGGGACACTATAGTCACCAGAACAACTACAGCTTATTGCATTTGTTCTGGTGAGTAGAACCATTACCTTCAGGCTTTTTGCTGTAAACACTGTCTTTTCAGAGAAAATGCAGTGTTTACATTACAGCCTAGTGATAACTTCACTGACCACTCCTCAGATGGCTGTTAGAGATCCTTCCTGGGTCATGGCTGCCTAAAATGCATCCAAACTTTCAGTGTCTCCTCCCTCTGCATGCAGACGCTGAACTTTCCTCATAGAGATTCAGTGATTCAATTTATCTCTGTGAGGAGATGCTGCTTGGCCAGGGCTGTGTTTGAATCATGCTGGCTCTGCCCCTGATCTGCCTCCTTGTCAGTCTCTCAGCCAATCCTATGGAGAAGCACTGTGATTGGATCAGGCTACCACTTCTGATGATGTTGGCAGACTGTTGTTTTTCTGAGTCTAACAGCATGCAGAGTTAGAGCTTCAGGCTTGAATATTTATGGAGGCATGAGGGGCCCGGGCTAGATGGTGGTTTTAACACTATAGGGTCAGGAATACATGTTTGTGTTTTCTGACCCTATAGTGCTCCTTTAAACCACAAGTCTTTACTGTACAATTCTTGACACAGCAAAATTTAAAAGAAATGTGATGATCTAAAACAAATCCAAGTAAATTTATTAATGCCAGATTAGAGCAAACCAATTCTTAACCATAGGTAAAATTAAAATAGAAACAAAAGACAAACAGAATCCACAGTGTTCCAGCAGAGTATAAAATCCTTCCAAGAAACATGGCTTCACGTTTCTGCCATTGAATAAGAAAAATTAAAGGCTGGGATCTGGCAGGCTTCTCTGTGGTATCCTTAAACTCCTGATCTATTATTTATGGCTTGTGGATAGTCTACAATGTACATCTATGTCAAAAGGTAGGAAAATGAAGCATGTGAATGACAGCATAATATAGAACAAAAAACACAAGAGAATAGGCTAAAGTAATCTAACGTGAGACAGAACAAAACAAATTGCTTAGAGGAAGATTTGTGTTCTGAAAGGCTAAAATAGAATTGAGTTATATCACAGTCAGAAGAGACTTATACCTCTAAGTGGGATCTCATAACAAACAAATATTTGTCAAGAGATCAAGGAAAACAGTATACTGTGTGTGTTGGGGGGGGGGGGGGGGGGGAGGAGGAGATGTCCATAGAGACTTAGCAAGACAGTTTGTTAAAGAGAACAGGGAATATGAATCATGCAAGAGGAAATGTTTACTTTAGAAAATGACAAGAAGGCAAGAGTCAAGGAAACCGTTATAGGAAAAATAAGAGGTAAGGAGATACTCACAGGGCAGGGGATTTAAAAAAAAAAAGTTATTTGGGAAAACCGAGCTGTAGTGCTATTAGGACGGCAGAACCCTGTGCATACATTTATATTTGATATAAAAGCCTCTGAGGGTAGGAGTAGGAAAATGGAATTAACGGCTGTTTCTGCACCAGTTTGGTGTAGTTGATTGTTCAAGATTCAGAAAATATTGGACTAGGAATGTATTGCAATATTAAAAAGACCATTTAGATCCTTTTCCCCTAAGATAAAAACACTCGAATGTCAGAGGTTGCTGCGATACAATGTTTTCAATGCAATGCACAGCCCCCATGCTGCTAGTTCATAAAATGGCCAATTGAAAAACACCCCAAAAAGATAAATACAGAGCCTATCCAAAAGACTCTTTCCTGAGCGAGGACTTGCAGCAGCACATCCTGAGTAGAAGGTGAGGTGTCAGATTCAAGCATTCCTCATGAACATTTCCAGACGCAAATTGCCAGACTGCCACCAAAAAACATGTAGAGTAGGTTCTTGACCTCATGTGTGATCTCAAATCCAAAGCCTTCACCAATAACCACATGCCATGATGATCCAAACTTCTTGTCCATGGTCTCTTTGATCATCTTTGCTGCACTCTAAAAAAAGTAGAGAAAAAAAAACAAACAAAAAAAAAAAACAAAAAACACACCACTTATTAAATATTTACTAATGTAACATTAAAGCAATAGGCTTTCTTATAACATTTCGCCCATATCCTGGCATGTTTATAGTTATATTAATTTTGTAGTTAATGCAATCCGACTGTTACTTAACTGTAAAAAATGATGCAAATGCATTTCGTGTTGACTATGCAACCACACAATATTTATTAGACAAGGAACAGTCAAAGCATCTTCCATGCATATCAAAGCTTGAGCTAAGATAACTAATATTAAAGAAAACTATAGGCACCCAGACCACTTCATCTCAACAAAGTGCTTGGGGTGCCATGTACGTCTGGTTTTAACTATGCAATGTAAAACCGGACCACCAATCTTTACAGTGCAGGGTTTAAATGCCTCTCGTGGCGGTCACTGCCACTAGAAGAGCTACTTCTGAAATAGATTACAACTCAGCTATTTTTAGTGAAATGTCTTACATAGACCATCTAATTGGCACAGTGCAACGATTTGCAGCGTGTCACACTAACCTCACAATGCTTTCTTATGGGAAAGTATTGGATAAGCCAAGATCATTGATCTCAACCAAGAAGGCAGGACAGCAGAGTGGAGACCAGCGCTGTGAGGGAGAAAGGGGAAGTAAAACTGCTTTTTACCTTCTTTAAAAAAGGGGGAGCAGAGACCTAAACATTTAACAGCTTAATAATGTTAACATCTCTATTCCTAACACTAGATTATAATCTCTCTTCTACCATGTGTATTAAAGGGATAGAGATATATATATATATATATATATATATATATATATATATATATATATATATATATATATATATATATATATATATATATATATATATATATAAAAATAAAAATAAAAAACACACACACACACACACACACACACACACACACACCACAGCATAATACAAGTTAATTCTGGAAAGATTGCTGAAATTAGGAAAAACACTAATGTACTTCACATGAACAGTAGTGATGTCCCGAACGGTTCACCGCGGACTCATCATTGAGTAAACTTTGACCCTGTACCTCACAGTCAGCAGACACATTCCAGCCAATCAGCAGCAGACCCTTCCTCCCACCTCCTGGACAGCTCACTAAGAATGCAGCTTCAAACTGGATGCTGTTCAGGAGGTGGGAGGGTCTGGGAGGGAGGGTCTGCTGCTGATTGGCTGGAATGTGTCTGCTGACTGTGAGGTACAGGGTCAAAGTTTACTCAATGATGAGTCCGTGGCGAACCATTCGGGACATCACTAATGAACAGTACTACTGCAATAATTCTCCCTGAAACCAATAAAAGTAATTGTGGAAGTACTGCCTGTTCCTGATTTTCATGTTTGAGGCCTGCACTCTCCTTAGAACAGTTAACTATAATGTGTATGTACAGCTCCATTCCAAGACTTTCCTCTACTCTCTCTAGGTTGTTTTGTAACATAAAGGACTCTGTATTACAAACTAATGCTATGTCTGACTTCTACATCTTGAAGATGCAACTGCAGGCTATTCTAGTGATCCTCTTATAGTGTTCCTTTCAGGACATGTGTAAACATTGCTGTTTCTCAAACTGCGATGCTTACATTTGTCAGTTTGCAGGGCACCAAATCCACAAACATTACTATGCACTGGTTTTGGTACTTAAAAATGTCCCTTTAAAAAGGGTTTATGTATTGTAGTCTGTATACCTGGGTGCAGGTCCAATTCAAAGAATATATATATATATATTTTTTTTTTTATTCGAGGATACACAGACCAATTAAAGTAGAAATATTTTACCTCATTATTACTGGCAAACTTTTCACAAGCAGTAACACAAAGTTCCATGGTTTCTACTCGCATCTCTTCTGGCATATCTGTGTGCTGCAAAGAGAACATACACAGCATGTTAGCAGTAAATAAAATGGTGTCTGTAAGTTATACAGTTAATAAGTAAGATAAAAAATAAATAAACACAAAAACCAAACACCTCCATATGCTGTTAATTGCAGCAAATCATTTTGGAATATTTCTTTAAAAAAACGGTGTTCGCCTTTCCATCCTTGTGTGATGGATTTGATTTCCCCTAAAAGTTTTATGTAATTTGCTTTAAATAAGGTGGCGGGTGTGGGTGTGAAGTTGACCCCTAGGAACTTGATATGGTCTTGTCTCCATTCGTAGTTAAAGTGTGATTTCAGGACGTTCAGGTCTTGGTTTGGGATGTTAATGCTCAGGGCCTGTGTTTTTGCTATGTTTAATTTGTAGAAAGAGCATCTACTGTAGAGGGCCAGTATTTTATGGAATTGTAGTAGCGATATGTGCGGGTGCTCTAATGATAGCAGGATATCATCCGCGAACAGCGTTAGTTTATATTCCTTCCCTTTTATGTGCATTCCGCTTATGGCGGGGTCATCTCTTATCATTTGGGCCAGAGGTTCGAGTGCCAGAATGTATAGTATCGGGGAGAGTGGGCATCCTTGGAGGGAGCCATTTGAAATTTTGAAGGTTTTGGAGATAAATCCCCCATTTGTCACTCGTGCCGTAGGGGAGGAGTATAGTGCTTTGATGAGGGCGAGGAATTGGGGAGGGAATTCGAATTTTTGTAGGACCGCTAGTAGGAACGGCCAGTGGAGTCTGTCGAATGCTTTCTCAGCATCTAGGGATAGGAGGATGCTTGGGGCCCTTTTCTCCCGCAGGCTGTGTAAGAGGTTTTGTACTTTCCGTGTGGACGAATAGCATCGACAAAAATGATACTCCTACCTAAGATACAATACCTCTTCAGAACGCTCCCCCTCCAGCTCCCCACAAAACATCTCTTGGAAATACAAGAACAAATTAACACATACGTTTGGGAAAACACAAAACCCAGGGTAGCGTGCTCCACTATGTTTCGACCACTCTCCCAAGGAGGTATGGGCTTACCTGACATAAGAGGATACTACCGAGCAGCGCACATAGCCCCACTCCTCTCAGCATTCCACCACAAGGAAGCGATGGCCTGGGTAGAAATTGAAACAAACTATGCCAACGGACTTTCCCTTCCAACAATGGCCTGGATGCCGAAACACCAAAGACCAAGTAACAAATCACTACTACCAACAACCCAACTAACTCTAATGATATGGGATAACTATCGCAAAAAGATGGGCATATTGACGAAAATATCACCAGCCCTCCCACTAGAAGCTTTGGGAGTCATCATCACGGACTTCAACTACAAAATATGGAACAAACACGGCGTACGAACCCTATCCCAACTCACGACAGACTCCCATCTCAAACGTCTGCCAGACCTCCAACGAGAATTCCACTTACCCGCAACAGCTACCTTCCCCTACAGGCAACTGCAAGCCTGGTTCGCCCTACAGACAAGGAAATTGGCGATAACCTTCCCAGAGCCCCCCCTACTGGAAGTCGAAAAAATATGTCTAACAATCAAACCAGCCAAGAAACTGATCTCACTGATCTATACTTCAGAACACAATCAACCCTCGAAAAAACCCCCATCCTTTAAAACAGCATGGGAGAAAGACATCAAACACCCACTTACTGAAGACCAATGGCAGAACATTTACAAAGCACACAAACAAATGACGCTCTGCATGAACCATGTGGAACTCTCCCGAAAAGTTCTCTACAGGTGGTACCTGGTGCCCACACGCCTCAAGCTCAGCTTCCCCAACACATCAGACACATGCTGGAGATGCCAGGCAGACAAGGGCACCATGATCCACATCTGGTGGCACTGCCCGCAACTCACAACATACTGGCTGGAAGTAAAGAAACTAGCAGCAAGATGCACCAAAACGCACCTGCCACTCCTACCGGAAATATTTCTTCTACTACTACTCCCGAACAAACTGCGGAAAAGCCACAGATACCTCCTCTACCACATCATCATCTCAGCATTAGCATCCATAAGCAGGAAATGGAAACAAACAACCCCACCGACAATAGAACAATGCATCAAAGCGATAGACGACTCCAAGCGCTACGAAATGATGGCACGGAAAGCGAGACCAAAAGCAGCATACCACTCTACGGCATGGGAAATATGGGACGAGAACAAGCTACAATCCCGTAAAGGAGCTCATACCCAACACACCACATAAAAACACCATATGAGGACACTTACCCACTTCCTAACAACATGCTCCACGATGGCAGCACTTCCCTCTTCCTACCACAACCTCAACAAAAGAATCAGAGGAATCCACATCCCGCTAAGTCACCCTGCCCCCCCCTCCCCACTCCCCCACTCCCCCACTCCCCACCCCCTCCCACCCCCCCCAAGGGAATAAATAAAAACACAGGCATACCAGCTCACGACATCCTCATACACCGACCCACACTCTCAAGGATAAACGAAAGGACCCAAGCAAACAGGTGAACGACTCCACCAGCAGCAGGGACGAGACACAACACATCACCAAGCAGGCACACCTCACCAGGGTAAATATACCATCCCTACTCTGGAACACCCTAAAGAACACGCACCCTCTGCAACCACACGTTACACATTGCAACCTAGCATGAGGCACAAACGAATAGAGGACTAGCAACAAATCACAAAGCTGTGCCCAAATACTGAAACCTGCACACCTGAATCAAATTGCTAATTGTAAAAATGACTATGTGTACAAAACATTGAACTTGGAGACTGTATACTATGTCCCCCCCCCCCTGCTTTCTTCTGTACCCCACCACTCCGACCCACCAAAATAAAAATTGTCAAATTCAAAAAAACTGATTGTTCCATGGGGTAGAATTATCAAAGCACCTTTGTCAAGCTAAAATCAACAACATATTCACCTACTTGAAATCTCAGGCTACACACTTCGCCAACTTCACACACTTGAGCGGAAATCTTTTTTACCCCATTGGATGTATATCTGAAAGCAGTTTGCAAGCTGCAGATCTGCTGTCTGCAGCCATTGTTTCTCTCCATAGCGATTTTCATGGCTGTCCAATCATGGACTTCTCAATGAAAGTCTTTGCAGGATGGGTTTTCTTGGTGCCCCTTAGGTTTAATAAAACTAAACTACTGGAAGTAACAGGATTGGATGGGACAGCCTGGGAGAAGTGGAAATAACTAGGTTAATTTAGAAATGTACTTAATTATTTACATTTGTGTAAAGACCATGCTGCGACTGAAACTTTTGACACTTTGCATCACACAAGCACTTTTACAGAAATATGTAATAAATGCTAGGTTTTAAGGAAGACTACGAGTGCAGACTATAATATTGTTTTGTGTATACTCTACGATATAGCGGGCCTGGCACACAACATTGAACTGTTTTGTTGACTATTGGGCAGTGCAAGAATAATGTACTGAATATAGATAGATATAGAAACCATCTCTATCTTTTGTGAACAGTCCTTGCACTCCCCTAAACTTTAATAAGATACTTGCGAGATTCTTGAAATCAGGAAAAATTCAAATATGTATAGGTATTGATCAGCACTCGGACAGCAGGGACTTTCATCAGGATCAGCAGGCATAGATAGATCTATCTGTAGAAGGATCTATGCCTGATCCTGATGAAAGTCCCTGCTGGGACTGAAACGTTGATCTGATTTTTAATGGATTATTAATAAACTGTAAGTTTTAACTTTTACAAGTCCGAGAGTGCTGATCACTGCCTATACACACACACACACACACACACACACACACACACATATTATATATAACAAAAAGGTTCCTTGCACTCTCGTTATCCTTGGTAATGCCGGGTGCATGAGCCAGCTGGCAATTCAAATATAATAACAAAAAATGATTGCTGCACTCCTCGGTTTTCTTATATAAAATCCAAATTGCTTGATTAGATATACATTAAAAATAATCGACGTTTCAGCCCCATGTTGGGCTTTCCTCAGGATCAGAAAAAACAAATGTATATCTAATAAAGCAATTTGGATTTTAGATAAGAAGACAGAGGAGTGCAGCCATCATTTTTTGTTTATATTTATAAAAATAATTTATTATTATTATTATTATTGAGCGCCGTCAAATTCCACAGTGCTTTACAATGGGTGGACGAACAGACATGTAGTTGTAACCAGACAAGTTGGACACCCAGGAACAGAGGAGTTGAGGGCCCTGCTCAATGAGCTTACATGCTAGAGGGAGTGGGGTAAAAATGACACAAAAAGGTAAGGATAGTATTCGACTAGTGACAGTTGCAGAAGAGGTATCAGTCAGGAGCTATTAACAGTTTAATTGATATGCTTTTATGAAGAAGTGGGTTTTTAATGATTTTTTTGAAGGAGTGGAGACTGGGTGAGCATCTAACGGAGGAGGGAAGCGAGTTCCACAGGAACGGTGCAGCCCTCGCGAAATCTTGAAGGCGAGCATCAGAAGTGGGAGTATGGACAGAAGATAGACGGAAGTCTTCAGCAGATCGTAAGGGCCTAGACGGGACATACTTGTGTATAAGGGAGGATAGATAGGTGGGAGCAGCATTATGTAGAGATTTGAAAGCAAGAACCAGAATTTTAAATTGAGCTCTATATTTTATACGAAGCCAATGTAGGGACTGACAAAACGGTGAGGCATGGGAGGTGCAGGCGGACAGGAAGATAAGCCTCGCTGCTGCATTCATTATGGACTGTAACGGCGCAAGTTGGGAGCATGCAAGACCACTGAGAAGCGGATTACAGTAATCAAGGCGAGAAAGGACAGTGGAATGGACCAACACCTTAGTCATATCCGGCGTTAAGTAGGGGCGGATGTTTTTGAGATGGAAATGACAGGATTTGGCGATAGATTGAACATGAGGCTTAAAGGAGAGGTTGGAGTCAAAGAGAACACCTAGGCAGCGAGCCTGCGTGGTGGAGCTGATGGTAGCACCGTTGACTTGGAGGGAGGGAGACACAGGAATAACAACACTTGAGGGAGGAAAGACCAGAATTTCAGTTTTGGTCAAGTTTAGTTTAAGGAAGTGGGCAGCCATCCAGTTAGAAACAGCAGAGAGGCAGTCAGAGACACTAATCAAGAGGGACGGGGAGAGATCAGGAGAGGACAGGTAGATTTGCGTGTCATCTGCATAAAAATAATATTGGAAGCCAAAGGAGCTAATGAATTTACCATTAGCTCCTTTAAAGCTGAAGTGCTTCAGGTGTTTGTAGTGTCCCTTTAGCGTAACAAATCACTATTACAAATTTGCATATTAATAACAAAGTTACTTGAGTGAAAATGGCTCAGAACTGCAGAGAATCATACAAATATGCTTAACAATTTGGCTGCAAACTCTGGTGGGAAGCATCTTTTATTTTAGTACACACACACACACACACACTAACATTTGTAAACATTTTGTAAAATCCCACAAACAAAGTTTGATGACCGGCATTAGTCCAGGTTATAAAACACCAAACACACATGAGCATATAATTTATCCTTTATAATGCACACTGTTACAAAACAATCAATATTTAATTGCTGTCTGTTTTTATTATTAAAAAAATTTAAAAAAAAAGAAAAAAAAGAAAAAAAAAACTACACACACAAAAAAAAAAAAGGGACAATTATTATAAATTCTGCGATTTTCTGTCCCCACATTCAAAAGCAGCAACTGAACCAATATGTATTATATGGATCCCTAAATCTTCCTATGAGAAGTGTTTTTTGGCAAATACCCAGTAATAAGGATGTGCTTGTTTTCAATCTATATTGCCTCTCCCACACTGTTAACATATACATATGTCATTTTTACATAACAGTCGTTGCAGTTGGAACAATGCAAAGTTCATTTCTGAATCTCATTATTTAATAATACTAATTCAGTTAATTATATACATTTGTTTTCAGCATCACCTGTAACGATGACACCCAGATATACTTCCTCCATCGGGTACTTTTTAATCCCTTATGGGTCATTGTTGCTAGCTTTTTACATCTACTGATGGCTTTGTGGGGATTAGGGTGTGCACGCCTATGTTACCGGTACTCTCTACATTTACCATCTTGAAAAAAAAATAAAAAAAATAAAAAAATATAATAATAATAATAATAATAATAATAATAATAATTCTACACATCTGTTAACTGAACATGTTTGTTTATTTTTGCAAATCCTTTTTTTTATTAAGTGGTAAATGCACAAAATATACATGCCAGTCAGATTTATGTTTTCAAGAATATTTATTGTTCCTCTCCCTTAGTGTACCTCTCCCCTACTAATCCTTTAGTGTTTCTCTCCTCTCCCCTCACCTCCCCGTCTTAGTGTTCCCCCTACCCTCCCTGTCCCTTAGTGTTCCTCTCCGCTCCCTCATTACTTCTCTTATAGCGTGGCTGAGCAGAGCGGACCACAGTACAGATGCTTCAGTTTCCTGAAACCAGCCAGATTGACAGGAAGTGCTCTTTCAGTGAGCACTTCCGGACAGTCTGGCTGGGTATAGGAAACTGAAGCTCCTTTACCGTGGTCTGCTTTGCTCCATGCAACACCGAGTAAGTGGTAGGGGGAGCGCTATGCACTTCCTTCCTACCAGTCGATTCTTGCACCGCCAGAGCCGGTACACACTAATGCGGCCGCCTGATGGACGTGACGGCCCTGTGTGCGTTGGGCCACTGCCGCCTCTCACATTATCGGCAATATCAGTAGTGGCCGGTACCGATATTTGCCAAAATCCGGAATATCGGCCAAACCGATAAATCGGTCTATCCCTAAATGTCACCATCAATTTTATCCAAATAAAATGCTATTGATTGGATTGATTGAAAGTGCAAGGGCAAAATTCTCCAAGTGCTCTCATCGAAACAAAATCGTCCAAGTTGGATGAAATGGATATTAATAAGGCGGAAGTGAAATTTTGCTTTATAAAATACAGCAAAGATAGGAATAACCCCTAGTTCAGGGATAGGCAACCTTTGGCACTCCAGGTGTTGTGGACTACATCCCCCATAATGCTGGCAAAGCATCATGAGTGTTATAGCCAAAAAAAAAAATCTGGAGTGCCAAAGGTTGCCAATGCCTGCCCTAGTTTATATCAAACCATTCCTAAACAAACAGTTTAATATTAAAATATGTGATGCCACCAGAAAACTCTAGACAGCACAACACTTACAGTGCACTGTAGGGTTATGTTTGTTAGAAGGCCCCTTTAAGGAGGTGAGCGTTGTTTGACAATAATGCTGATCTGTGTCCAATCCTGGAATCTTTTTAGTGAATGTTTATTATAAAAGAGATCTTATTAGGGCAATTTTTCACAACCCTGCAAGGTCAACAAAAAACTGTTATAGGTTATACTACAGCCAGTTTACCAGTTGCACTCCAGCTGTTACAAACTCAGAACTGCAGAGCCACCTGGGAAAGCAATACAGGATTCATTGTAACACACAAAACAAAATTATGTCAAATCCACAAAATGCCACAAGGCTAAAAGAAGTGATTACTTTTAGGATACAACTGTGAAAATTACCCGTATTAAAGGAAAGCTGTGCATTCTCTTATAGTCTGCCTCTTCTTTCTTCCCTTCTCCCGGATCTGCCATTATCATTTATCTTAAATTCTCTGCCGTTGTTTTGCACCCAAGACTTATGTTGTAGAATGCAGTATCTTTTAAATTAAAAATAGGATTTGGATTCGCTGACTTCTTCAAATTCCTAAAGAATGTGGGATATTCAAATAAAAAACTGTATTAAATATACTTTAAAACATGAAGATACTGTATATTTGACCTCTCATATCACTTTGTGTCTTGCACATGATTAATGATTAATTACAATAAAATACTTTGGGTTTTATGCCAAGCATTCCACAGCATTCACGGTTTGAAAAGGTATAAAACAAAGAGAGTGGAATCACTGGTTATAATCATTTGCGGATAAAAATAAAATTATTTTTTATTTAAACAATTGGAGCCTAAACATTAGTGAACGGAGTTCCATGCTTCCAATCTCTGGGAAACGTGTAAGCTTTGCAACACACAGACACCTTATGATAGTATTGGCTTATATCTAACGGCTTAACTAATAGGGAGACTGCAAATATAGTTTCCCAAAACACTTCTTATAGTCAGTAATACAATACAAAATTGCCAGCACTTGTGGTTTTACACCCAGAAATATATTTATAGGAAAAAGAAAGTACACTCTCTTTGAATTCTATGGTTTTACATATCAGGAAATAATAATAATAATAATAATAATAATAATAATAATAATAATAATAATACACTGAAATGAAAATTCTGGGCCGAAACCCGAAAATGACTTTTCCCCAAATGATTTTAAAAAGTTTTTTCTATAATTTTATTAATATTAGACTTTTTAATTAATCAAATATGAAAAACTACAAGCCAACAAAATAACCACACTTTAATTTAAAGTAATACACCAAAATTGGACAGAAAATTACTTTAAAAAAATAATATAGAAAATCTGTTTGTTATATAGGACTGAAGAATAATATATTGTTAATATTCAATTTAATATCAATATACATTCTTCATTCCGTTCTTTGTAACCGAATCAGAATTTATTTTTTTAAATTTATTATTATTATTATTATTATTATTAAACCAATTATCCAAATAAAGTATAGTCCTAGAAAACAATTATATGCAAAACAGTAAAGGCTAGATAAATTACATTTGATTGGTAAGCTTTACCAATGCTCTGTCTGATTACATTTCCAACTCCATTAACGCCTATATGAAGTTGGAAATATAAATCAGAGCATTGGTAAAGCTTACTAATCAAATGTAATCAAGCCCCATGTCAAGTAATGAACTCAAACAGCAGCTCTAAGATAGCATTATGCAAGTACAAATATCCTGCCCAACAACATAGGTCTTTATGGTCATCCCCCGTCCACCAAGATACCTACTACAAAACCTGCCCCCACCCCCCACTCTTCCCGTGCTCCTCATTCGGGCCGTAACATTTCATCGCAAACAGAAAACTTTTGAAAATTGTAACTATATCCAGTAAAGTTCCACAAAGAACTCTAACCCGGGAATGATGTCAGAGCAGAATTTCCAATGTTCTTTTTATCTGGAGCGATCCTGCTTTTGGCTGCTATTGCTTTTTACCCACCGCAAGCTCTTTATCCAGCCACCCGCCCAGCGCCTGCAAGCTCTCCTTGCTAAACTGGAAGCTCCATGTGCCATGCTGATGACGTGCCTGTCATGTGACGTGCTGATGTCACAGAGATGTAACAACCCCATTCTCTGCATGGAAACTAGACAGCCCCGTGCTCAGTCTGCCTGTCACTCAGCCGCTGTTTCCAATCCAACTCCTGGCCGGGCTTCTAGGTGTCGGATAGCGCGGACGGTCAGCTCAGACACTCACTGTGACCAGACAGCTCCTGAACACGTTAGTGAAGCAGTCATTATTTGGGTCACCGACCGAGCCCATACATTTCTGGCAGATTTGACCCTTTTTCGTCTGAAATGAGATAGGCCCATTTTTGGCCGAAAATTTTGGTGCATCCCTAATAATAAAATCAATCATCATCTCTTCCTTAGCAGGTCTTACAATTAGGTAAATACAACAACACATGCCATATTACAGTGTCATGATTTAACAAAAATAAAAGGCAAATTGAAGAAGCCAGGGGTGAAAAACTAAGTATTATGGTGCTGCTAATCAAATCACTTTGATTACTTTATCATCAGAAAGTGTGACCACCTCTATAAAAGCCAAAGTTTTAGCAGTTTGCTGGTCTGGAGCATTCAGGTGTGTGTTAACACAATGCCAAGGACATCAGCAATGATCATAGAGAAGCAATCCAACTGGGATTAGTTATGAGGCCATTTCTAAACAATTTAAAATCCATTATTCTACAGTGAGAAAGTTTATTCAAAAGTGGAAAACATTCAAGACTGTTGGAAATCTTCCCAGGAGTGACCATCCCAGCAAATTCACCCCAACGTCATACCATGCAATGTTCAGAGAAACTGCAAAAAAATAAAAAAAATAATGGAGTTACATCTCAGATTCTACAGGCCTCAGTTAGCATGTTAAATGTTAAAGTTCAGGACAGTACAATTAGAAAGAAAGAGTGAACAGGTATGGTGTGTTTGGAAGGGTTGCCAGGAGAAAGTCTATTCTCTCTAATAAGAACTTGGAAGCACAGTTTAGGTTTGCAAAACTGCATCTGTACAAAACACAAGACTTCTGGAAGAATGTCCTTTGGACAGGTGAGACCGTGAAGATGTTTGGCCATAATGCACAGTGCCATGTTTGGCAAAAAACAAACATCTTATACCAACTTTCATGCATAGTGGTAGAGGGGTGATGATTTAAGCTTGATTTGCAGCCATTGGAAATGGGAACCTTGCAGTCATTGAATGGACCATGAACTTCTCTGTTTACCAAAAGTATACTATAGTCGAATATGAGGCCATCCTTCCGACAGCTAAAGCTTGGCCAAAATTGGGTCATGCAACAAGACAATGATCCCAAGCACACCAGCAAATCTACAACAGAATGGCTGAAAAAGAAAAGAATCAAGGTGTAGCAATGACCCAGTCAAAGTCCAGACCTAAATCTGATTGAAATGCTGTATCGGGACCTTAAGAGAGCTGTCTGTGCATAAACAAATGAAAGCACACCCCAATGAACTGAAGCAACCTTGTAAAGATACTGATAAAGTCACACAGAAAACAATTACTTCAAGTTATTGCTGCTAACGGTGGTTCTATAAGCTATTGAATCATAATGTGTACTTAGTTTTTTCACACATGGCTTCTCCATTTTGGCTTTATTTGTGTTAATAAATCATGACACTATGTAATATGTCTTGTTTATGTCCTGATATGTAAAACCATAGAATTTAAAGAGGGTGTACTTTTTTCTCCATGACTGTATAGATCTCCGTATAAATAGTTCTGACAACTAAAAAGGTACAATTACTTAGATGCTTCTGGTAAAAGCTTTAGGAAAGGTGCCTTTTAAAAGAAAGGGAAAAGACAATGATTTTTAATATGATAGCAAGCGGGAAATGGTGTGGGACTTACAAAGAGAATTTAGGAAAGTGGAATGGGCTAAGCATATTACATGGACAAGAGATCAAAGAAAAATATATCAAAATACGTCAAAACCTGAACTTCCAGAAAATGTTACTATGGTACTTTTCCAGGAGATAAACTTTGAGCAGAGATTTCAGCTCGACTAACACCATACACATGCACTGATCTGATAAAGCTGGTGTATCATCAAAACGCATCATCACGTTTAGACATCATAGCCACGCCCCCTGAAAGCGGCATACACTACGTTCGTTCTTTTTCCCTTTCTTATATATGTGCTAAAGTGGATTTTAACTGCAATTGTTTGACTTTTATTTTTAAGAGTTAAAAGTGCAATTTCCATTCCCCCAATTTAGCTTAGGAGAGCACAGGAATTTCTGAATCTTCGGCATTGGTACTGGAGGTGGGGGAGCAGCATCATGCAGACCCCAGTTGTTAAATTAAACAATTCAAAAACTATCCCACGCCTTACAAAGGGAGGTGCCAGTGCACAGTAAGCTGTGGTAGTTATGGTGCTTGGACTGTTCCTTTAAGGCTAAAACAGATAATTTGGAGAAATCCTCCAACTCCGCTATAGTAACAGCTTGTCCATATTAGCCATACTTTTGCAATTTGCATTTTAAAATTACACACACACAAAAAAAAAAAGAAAATAACCCAATCTATATTTGTGAATACACCCCATTCATTTAGTTTAATGATGTCAAGTTAATGTTATTGGATATAACCAGAGGTATGTCTGCACTAGACATATCAAATGTAGCTATTAAAAAATAACCTGAAAGCAATGATTACACATACACAGTAACAATGTACAAAGCAAAGGCTGGGACCTTATGCTCACCTATATGACGAATATAATTATTATGTATATTATTATGTTCTCACAGAGTAGCTGGAGCAAATCTGGCTTTATTGTCCATACAGCCCTGGTCTGATGGATTAATATAAGTGTTAACTCCCAATAAGAGCCCATATTAACTTTTCCCAATCAGACCCTTTATGTGAATAAGGCATTCCCCAACACATCTCCCCTCTCCAATTCCTAGCCCTGCTCCATTGCCACTGATTTCCATGGCCATAAATCATACATTTCCCATTCTTGTTACTTTCTGCTCTTCCTCCCACTCTCTGTCTCCCTATCACATTCTCCTTTACTTCCTTCTGTCTTCGCTCACTCTGCCCGCTTTGTGTCTAGCCTGCCCCCCTCTCCCTCCCCCTTGCCTTCCATGGCCGTACTTTCCCCATCCAAGTTACCGGAGCCCTCGGCCGCCTTCATGCCTCTCTCTCCGCACGGCGTCCTTTCGCTCTGCGTTGCTATGGAGCGGCCCAGGCCTTACCTGGCAACCGCCACCAAACCCGGAAGCGCAGCCACCGAGCTCTAAGCCCCGCCCAACCCGCTTCAAACAGAGAAGCCGATTGGTCTGTTAAGGGGGCCTCCGTCGTGACGTAGGTAGGAGGCGTATGTGTAGGTTACTAAGGAAACCAGACTGCGGTAGCTGTCCTTGCTACTGCCTGCTCTGACTGTGTTTTGTTGTTGTTGCCAAGGACTCCACTGGTTTATCTAGTATTAGCTCACTGACCCTTTGGTCATTCGCAAATTTAGCTCAGTGACCCATTCTATGAATGTGATATAATTAATATTGATTAAATACATTTTGCTAAACACGTGAAAGTACAGTATTTCCAGTTTAAAATGGGTGTCTATGCACTACTAGTGAAAGCAGGCAATTAGAACCATGGACCTGGGATTGCATGGACACTATAGTCACCAAGACAACTACAGCTTAATTTATTTATCCTGTTTTTTTTTTCCTGTAAACACTGTCTTTTCAGGAAAAAAGGCAGTTTTTACATTGCTGCCTAGGGGCACTGATAGAGAATGAATTGTTTTGCCTATGCAGTGCTTAGTGAATATTCCCCTAGACATACAGAGCTATAGATTTAAAAAAAAATATATATATATATATATATATATATATAATGTTACAGAGTGTCAGTGTCATGTCCTGCTTTGTACTTCTGTATTTCTTATCACTAGCTAGAAGTACGTACTATATACTGGGCTTGGAACATTGGATGGTCAGTAAGCCTGAGTATAATACAAGATACTCATGCTTTAAAAGGGTTAAACTTACATTCTTTAAACATACTATATTTTTTTCTGTTGAGAGCCTGACACTAGTTTTCATTATCGTGTATAAACATCCTGCTGTTGGAAAACATAACATTCTCTCTAACCACCTGAAAATTTTAATTGGGTTCCTAAATTAATGACTGCCATGTACATCAGTTTTTGTCTTACTTATGTCTTTCCACGTCTGCAGGGGTTAAAAGCAAGAATTTTCTCTCTCCTGTTTGCAATCAGTTACAGTTTCACACATACTCCCTTTTTTCTATCACAAGATAACCCTGCAGAGTTTCGGGAAGTGGTGCTAGACATGCGCAGTAGAATAACTGCAATACGTAATGTTATATGAATAATTATACTGTTTGCACTGAACGTCTATGATTGGTTGATTTTGTCTTCTGTTGGAAACACCCCTATGAAAACTGTGTTTGTTGCATATATACGCAGCACCCGCATCTTTCTTAAACTTCATAATGACTGGTCTGCTTTAATTGTACATTAATTGTTCTCTGCAGTGAACATATACAAAGATTAAGGAAATCATTATGTGTTACCAGCATAAGTCCATGGCAGCGTAAGGGTTACAGACCCCATAAAATTCTTAGAGCCTAACAGACACCAACAATGGCAGTCACTCAGGCGGCCACTATAGGTGCATTCTGGGTCAGTGCTGCATAACGTGGAGCACTGACGTTCAGCATCTCTACTAGGATTGTAGGGTTGCCACCTTTTTTGTAAATAAATACCGGCCATACTAATTTGCTTAATTAATTTTTTATGCGTGACAACACAGGGCACAACATACAAAACAATGAGAACATTTGGAAGGAGAAAATTCTCTAAATCACTAATAAACTACTTACAATGTGTGTACTTTGACTGTGCGTATAGCCTTGTGTATGTAAGGCAGTGTGTGCATATATTATCTGCATGAGTGTGTGTATAACATTGTATGGTTGTCTAAATGTGTATAACAGTGTGTGCATACTGCTTGAGTGTGTGTCAGTGTTTGTATACTGTGAGTGTGTGTCTACTTTGTCTGTGTATTTCTATTTCTCTCATCATTCTACTATCATACTGCTAAAAAAAACCAGACACAGACTGCTTAATACACACACAGACTGCAGAATACACACACACACACACACACTTCTGAAAACACACAGACTGCTGAATACACACACATGAACCTGCTCTCAGGGCTCCGTTCCTGCTGCCATGCTTCCATTTGCTTGTCCTATAGCTCCTCCCACTAGGATGACCACATTTTGAAAATGCCATTCAGGGACACTTCCTTGCCCCTCCCGGACCCCCTCTTCACACCAGACACAGCGGCATAGCGTGGGTTTCAGCGTCCATTCCTCCCAATATTTCATATCCCCACCATATTTCATGTACACCTCCCATTTCATGTCCGTCTCCCCCATATTTCATGTCCATTCCTCCATATTTCATATCCCCCCATATTTCATGTCCATTCCCTCATATTTCTAATACCCCCATAGTTCATGTCCATCCACTCTCCCCCCATTTTGATGTCTATTCCTCCATTTCATGTCCACCACCCACTACTGACTTACCGAGATGAAGGGGGGTGAAATCTTTATCATGGAATCACTAGTAGTACTAGTGAGTCCATGATAAAGATTTCACCCCCCTCCCTCATTCCTTACCTGGTCCTGGGAGCTCCTCTCCCTTTCCTCCCGTATGGCCGTCTGCAAAGAGTGCTGGGAGGAAGGGACGTCATCGCGTGTGACCTCACTTCCTTGCAGCGGGCTGGCATAGTGGTTAAGCCAACGGGCTCCCTCTTCACTAATATGGGACCCAGTTCAATCCGGGATGTTACATTGTCCCTGAATAAGGGTGCCTGGGACCCGGGACAGACCCACAAAATGCGGGAATGTCCCGGACGATCCGGTACACGTGGGCACCCTACCTCCCACTCCTCCCATGCGGATTCTGTCAGTGGAGAGGAAAGGGACTTGGCTATCCCTGACCTCTCCACTCACAGCTCAGGCATCAGCAAGTCTTCCTAGTAGCTTAGAACACTGCACATCCTGGTTGCCAGTGCCGGTATTGCAGAACATTCTCCTATCAGAAAAATACCGGTATTTGCATTCTCAGTATTTTTGCAATACTGGCACAGGCTACACAACCTCAAATACTGGCTGTGCCGGTAAAATACCCGCCCGGTGACAACCCTAGTCTCCACGCTCTGCATGGAGACACACTAAATATTCCTCATAGAGTTGCATTGATGCATTGAGATTTGATAATCTCAGCCAAGGAGGCGGGGTGGGGGCGAAGTCAGTCGCTACGAGAAACATGCGTCACTGGAAAAAAGGTGAGTAAAATCACCTTTTACTTTGCTGACAAGGGGGCATTGACGTCTAAAGATCGCTTTCACAGCAATAGTGACAGGAATCGTGTTTGTACTCCTGTCACTATAGTGCTCGTTTAATAATAATGTCAATTCCTGTGGCATTGGAATCCAACTAAGATGATGGGATCTATATTTTGATCCAGATCCAGGGGTTAACAACCTATAATTTACAATATGTGAATACACATACTACTAATACTCTAAATACCAAGTACCAATAATAAAAAAAAAAAAGCTCTTACTACATAAAATTTATATTTTATTAAGCAGAGCTCTGTACGGAGATATTAATAGATGTGTTATTGAGAGAGAGAGAAATTATGCAAATTCTCTCACATGGCTAGAACATGTTACTTTAATGAATGTTTAATTAAGTATTGCTCTAGGTGAATGAACAGAATCTAGGGCACATTGTTTGACACTAGAAAATGATGTAATGCATCCATCCATACAAAGTGTCAATCTTGAGTCTCGCTTATGGGGTCACCATGTACTTTTTAAAGGAAAATAAGGTAACCATCCATCCATTGCATGTAAGGACAGGTTTGAATGCAATTTGCCACCCTATATTCCAAGGAAGTCAAAAGTTGTTCTAGACTGTAACACTCATAAGTCTTAACCTAGTGGAGAGACGGAGAGAGGTAAGAGTTACTATCCACAGAGCTTTGAAGTCAAGTACCCCCTTTTCCTAAGCCCTTTTTGAAGCATCTGTCCCTAAGCCTACATTAACCAAACTCTAATCCTAAATCGTTTCCGAACCTACAGAAGGTGGCACACGGCTTTTTAGCACTGTTTTTTGTTGTTGCAGAGGTTTAAAGACGTTGTATATTCAGTGGCAGAACTAATGTAGAGAGGGCACTGGTGAAAAAAGTGCATTTACTCACTATACTCACGTGCATACTCACTATTGTGCACATGCATACTTATGCTGTAGTCAAATATGTATATTTTTAAAGCATTTTTATTACTCCAATGTCCATATTTTAGGGGATTTCCATATTTAAGGATATCAAAGTAGGATGCTGGTTAGCAGAAAGCAATCTTGTTTGGTTTCCTTAAATATGGCAATCCCACATCAAGATAGCAAATTAGTGAGTTATCTACTAAACAACAGAAAGATCATAATTAACCCCTTAAGGACTGGACTGTTTTTGCGATGTTGTACATTTGCGACCAGGAATATTTTTACACTTTTGTGGTGTTTGTGTTTGGCTGTAATTTTCCGCTTTCTCATTTACTGTTCCCATACAAATTATATATTGTTTTTTCAGGACAAAATGGGCTTTCTTTACATACCATTATTTATATAATCTCATGTATTTTAATTTAAAAAAAATACAAAAATCTGATGAAAAATTGAAAAAAATACATGTTTTTTTACTTTTACTTGAAAAATCTTTTACTCATCTACAAAAGCGAATGAAAAAAACTGCTAAATAGATTCAAAATTTTGTCCTGAGTTTAAAAATACCTAGTGTTTACGTGCTTTTTTTTGCTTTTTTTGCATGTTATAGGGCTATAGGTACAAGTAGGATATTGCGGTTTCAAAACATACATTTTTAAAATTTATCAATAGTGACATTGTAACACTATTATCTGTCATAAATCTCTGAATAACACCCCACATGTACATATTTTTTTTAAAGTAGACAACCCAGGGTATTCAATATGGGGTATGTCCAGTCTTTTTTAGTAGCCACTTAGTCGAAAACACTGGCCAAAGTAAGCATTCATATTTGTTTGTGTGTGAAAAAAGTAAAAAAACTAAATTGAACGCTAATTTTGGCCAGTGTTTGTGACCAAGTGGTTACTAAAAAAGACTGGACATACCCCATTTGCAATACCTTGGGTTGTCTTCTTTTGCAAATGGTATGCCATCATGGGGGTAATTCTC